GACAGAGTGCACTTGAGCCACCCGTCTCAGGCACGACCCTTTTCGAAGAGATCGAAGATGGGCTGTCGGAGGTGGACCTGTGCTGCTTATGCCCAGTTCGGGCTGACAAGCGGGTTCTTGAGATCGGTAGAATCGGTAGCAGGGTTATTAGAACTCCAGCTGCACGCATGTCGTGCCTCTGAACTTGCCCAGCTCTCCCACGAAAGAGTTCATGTAGGATGGTTTCCTGAAGCCGCGGTGCAGCCTACATGTCATGACAAGAGCGGCACCCAGACCAATTTTGCGTGCTCGTGATGCCAGGAGTTCCTGCAAGAGTACACAGGTGCGCGAGACTTGAATGAGGTAACCTTCCTGGATCTGCAGGCCTCCAGGTTGCATAGGGCAGAGACGGTACAGTATGCGAGACGTACAAGCATTGCTTGATTGCTTGTCCTGAAAGGTAGATGCCGTTGGTGCGGGTGAGCGTGCCGCAGCCCCGGCACCAGGTGTTGCATCCTGTGGCGGGGCCGTCCTGCTCAGTAAAAACGAACCGGCTCAACTACCAGCCCTGCTGAGCTGAGCACCAAAGTGGTAACATCCATAGCCGCCCTAGATCGTCGCTAGCACCATGGGATCCCATTGGCACAGGGGATGGACAGCTGTGACCTTCGATACGGGAGTCTTGTAGAAGATGTCACGCCAACGCCTGCGCAATCACACGTATGCCTGGACAGTCGCGGGCCAGTGGGTTGTCGTGTGATTGGAGACTCACTGGCCCGTTGCATTGCCGCCAGAGCTTGTAGGGACTCTGGACTGCTGTCCCTGTGCGGGTGGCTGTCGGTTTTGTTTTGCATTCTGCCACAGCAAAAGGTAGACAGAGTGCGAGTGCTTGCTGTGTGAGAGGCAGTTGTACTTGGGCCACCGGCAACACCAGCAACACCGCCGAACTTCGGAAGCAATTCACAGATTCAGTGAGCATGCACGGGTCTTCTCATGAGGTGCCTCTGTTACGAAATACAAGGGCCGTGTGCCCACGCATCTTACAAAGTCCAGCTGGAGCCAGTACATCAAGACGTTTTCAGCCTCAGTCACCGAAACGTGTTGAACTCTCTCAAGCCCCAGGCCTCCTCCGTTGCCAGCCTTGAGAGCACTCTTTGCCTCTTCTTCGCCAAAACGGAGATTTGTTTTGTTCGCCACACGCAGTCTCGCGATCTCGGCCAGAGCTGGGTTGATTCTGTTGCGACGTGTTAATGCAAACTGGCGTCGCAGAAACATGGCGAACAAATAGCAAGCGTGGCACACGGTCCATGCCCGACAGCATGGTGACACTTCTCAGCAGTCCGAGCTGCACACCTTTCAATTTCAGTAGAGAACGAGAGCACGAAATCCTATGAAAGCCTTCGCAGAGAGCATTCTTTATGCACGGCTTATGGCTTCATGGCATGATGATGCGCTCGTTCTGAGGTGGAGTGTCTCGGGGAGCTGCTTCCAAGACTACAGCAGCAGGGATCTCATGTTCCAGTGAGATTCTTTCATGTGGCCGGCTCCACATGGATGCAAGATGCACAGAGTTCGTAGCATCAGCAGTACGATTGTATGTGCCTTTGTTGAGTTGCTGAAGGTTGCGTCTCAGTCGATCGCACATCTGACACAAGCTCAGTGCTGTTTGAGATCACCGGTTGTTGAGACGCCTTCGAAGCATCAGCTGCGATCAGCGAGTTCAGGTACCGTGCGCGATCTGGGAACAAGCCTGCAGAACCTGAAGGTGGAGCGATTTCGAAGCTTTCGGCGGTTTCTGCCATAGTACCATCTTGAACTCCTTGAGCTCCTTGCGCCTCAGGTTCTCTGGCTGTGCCGCTGTTCTTTGCAGGTCGGCTGATCAGGGGCCACTTAGAAGCCCTTTCAAGCTTAGAGATGGCCAGGACCTGGGAGGCATCACTGTACTTCCCGTTCTGGAGGAGCTCTTTGTTCTCAAAGCATCTCTCCAGCATCTTCTAGCAGTGGAATCTGAGCAAGCCGCAAGGAGCTCTACGTGTCGTTCAACGACGTGAGGGACTTGAGCCCTCTGCTGCCCCATGAGGCACCTCAGGGCACCTCTCCAGGGCACCTCTCAAGTTGAAGATTGCGACTCGTTTACAGTTGTGCTCTGCACAATTCACTTCACATATATTTCAGAATGCCAGGTCCCGTATGTCAACGTGTTCACTTAAGGGTAGTTTCATGGTCCCTTGACATGGCCCCTCTCCTCTTTCAAGGGTTCCGAAGGGCCCTTGGGTCTGCATAGGGAAACGCATAAGGGGTGCCCTCTTAAGGACCCATACTGACATACTGAGGGGCCATGTAACTAGCCTAAGAACTTTGGAGTTGTGTAGATTGCCTTTTGCAGGGGTGGGCTGCCTGTTGCATGGACTGCCTTAGGGCCACCCGGTAGATCTTGACCGACATGGTTTTGCCTCGTAGGGCGCTCGGTGCAGGCCCTGCAAATCCTGGACCTGGAGGGCAACTTGATAGAGGATTTCGAGGAGATCCGATCCTTAGAGGCTATCCCTGGCTCACGACGGAGTTCTGCGGTACGTCACAGATGCTACTCTTTCGTGAAACTCAAGGTATGCCGGCTCAGTCGGGTCTTGTTAGATCTGAAACACGAGAGACATCTTCGGGTGCACGCTTGGCTGAGACATCTTCGGGTGAAGTGGTAAAAAGAGAGCAGGGAGAGGTTCAACCTGAAGTCGAGTCAAGAGACGTGTGGAGCACCCTCAGCCATTCAGGTATCAGTCGACTTCATAGTAGAATTCAAGCGGGAGTTTTGCCAACGGGGTCAGACACAAAAGCCCACTGGACTGAGTGCACGCAGAAACACAACGAAACTTTTCGGTCCCGCAACAAGCACAAAGCACAGTGTCACATGTTTGTGCAAGACTGCAACCCGGACGTGGTCTGGTGACTGGTGGTCTTCATTTCACGGTTCAGCAATCCTCTCCTTAGTGCTCGCCTTCATTGAAGCTTGCGTCTGCACTCTCCCACTCCACTTTCCGACACATTTCCATTTTAAGTGCATTGTCCTGATTTTTTTGCTTTAAGCCGCCGTTTTCGCAACTATCTCTATGTCCCAAATTTCTCAACGTCCCCAAGCAGAGCATCTTGAGCATAATTGGTGATCCCGCGAAGACGAGAGCCACAAATACCTCTGAGTTTCTGTTTGTTGGCTCCCTATCATATAGAGAGGAGCAATTTGGATGTATAGTTTTGTTCGTGACTCTGTCGTGCGGAACCCGCGAAGCAACACGGATACGAAGACAAGCGAAGACGAGCGAAGGCTCGCGAAGGCTCGCGAAGACATGCGAAGGCGAGCGACGACGCGAAGACACGCGAACGTGAGTGAAGACAAGCGAAGATGAGCGAAGGCACGCGAAGGCGATCGACGACTCGCAACAACACGCCACCAGGCGTCCCTTCTCTTCCCGTAGATACGACAGTGTTCAGGATGCTTGCGGCGAAGAAACGGTCTTGAACCAAGGGAGTTCATGCAGGGATGAACGGCAGCATGGAGCACGGGTTCCGACCACGTGATCGACCAATCCACTCAGAAGGGACAGAAGGGCTTTCTGATCCCATGGCCACCGTTTTCAGCTCGGGCGGCGCATCTAACGACAGAGCCTCCGGCAACACGTGCCAATACGGTGCCTAGAGGGCCTGAGAGCCCATCTGCAGCCTTGCAGGGCGTTTCTACTCTGCGGGAGCTGGATATCAGTCGAGCGCTCATGAGAAGGGATGAGAGAAGTCCTACTTCTCCGGTAGCATAGTCCTGACAGGTCTCAACCCGGTGCGGAAGCAGGAGGAGGTGACGCGAGAGCGAATCTTGGAGGCATCGCCGCATCTAAATATTCACCGCTTTTTTGGGAATCGCACCCGGCGCTATCATCAGCGAGATGTAGCGAAGGTCTGTGATCCCCGAAAGCTCCCAAATCTGACATGAACTAGCTGGTGAGGGCAGCGCCTGCATGTCAGCAGGCTCTACCTCACCTCGAAGTTTTAGACACAGTCCCGAGACAGGCCTGCCATCGTTTTGCGAGCTGTATGTTTGAAGGCGTGTCCGTGATGCCCCTTGAGAATGAGCATGAACAACAGTCTGCAGCTGTTTTACAGGCGTAGAGATCAGCACATTGCAAGCTGCATCGTCACCACTGTGCATCCTGGAACTGCCCAAACGATGACGCAAATGACTTTGGACCTCATGTTCTGGCACGATGCCGGTCTTCCCTTTCTTCCCTTCGCCCGGCTCTTGGGACCCATCGACACGTGGAGGCTACGAGCGCTTGGATCAACAGTGCCTTGCCTTGCCTTACAGGGAGGTTTTGTGTTGTCCCTATTCACCGAAAGATAGAGCGAGTGCGAGAGTGAAAGAATGAGAGAGTGAGAGAAGCGGACTCCCCCCAGGCCCAGCAGAAAGAAGATAAAGAGGTCATGTCAAGGTTGCGAGGTTGAGCCGACAGCTCAGTTGGAAAGCGTAGGGGACGCGAGGGTGCGCGTCATGTGCATGCGTGGAGGCCCTGGGAGGCCCCGGCGTTCACATGCCCAAGAGAGAGAAAGGAACAAAGATGTGCTCCAATGGCAAGTTGATGATGCCTCATATCAAAAAGGCCCGTGTGAGCAAAGCATCTCACCCACGGAGCCGAGACCGAAGCGCACTTCGCTGTTGCACCTTCCGGGGGCCATGCATGCGGAGAGGGAGAGCCAGCCTTTGGAGTGATGCCCCTTCGAAAGGTCGGAATCAAAGAAGGAAGGAAGGAAGGAAGGAAGGAAGGAAGGAAGGAGGTTTCGGCCTCCAAGGCCCTCGAAAAGAGAGGTGCGTGTTGGACTATAGCATTCTTTTGGGCGGGGCGGGGGTGAATAAGAAAATGAGACACCAAGTTGAGGTTAGTCTGTACTGCTGTTCAACGTAGGTCCGGAGGCGGTCGTGGTGGTTTGCCACAAGAAGTTCTAGTGGGCGCAAATCTCAACCTGAACAGCCATGGACCATCATGGTGGAGGAGGAGGAGGAGGAGGAGGAGGAGGAGGAGGAGGAGGAGGAGGAGGAGGAGGAGGAGGAGCCGCCAGACCCTTTGACCCTTGCTCTCGCCCCTAGCCGTCCTAGAGCCACGCGTCTCCAGGCTGCGGCAACCTTGGTGACCACGCTGCCGAGGCTGCGCCGCCTGTGGCAGGCACGAAGCCACAAAGTTGGAAGCAGCCATCAGATGGTTGGAGGAGACTCATGGGGCGTTCTCATGATTGCGATCACCTAATACCAGATCTTAGTGGTGCAATCTGGAAGGTGGACGCAGAGCCTGGTCAAGCACTTGCCGAGGCCTGCGCTTGGGTATACATAGCTTGGCACTAAAGTGTAAAGCGTGCTGCACCGACCTGATTTCTTTCAGAGCCGATGAGGTGGTTCGCACGGGAGTGGGGGACACTGGCTTGGCTCGGCAAGTGGGCCGCTCGGCACGGAACGGTACGGATCAACTGCTCGCCACGGTTTCGCATCATGGCTTTCCAATGGTGTAGGCGAAACGCTTCTGGTGGGCTTTCCTGCAGCGCTGGCAGCCAATGATCTGGGCCAAACTGCAATAACATGGGCTGCTGACTACGGTCTTGTCGAGGACACTTCGCACAGCATGCGGCTCGTCACTTTCGGCTCGGACTCTCAAAAAGCGAGGTGTTGCAGCTGCTGCTTAGCCCGCTTGGTGATGCCAGCTGGGGTCTTGGCAAGGCGTCCTCTTAGACTGTCCACCACAATCTCACGGCAACATGTGAGTTCAGCGCATCAGCCTCTTGGATGTAGCTGTACGACTCTGCGAGAGGTGGAGACAAACGGTTGGTATCCACTGTTCCGTGCTGCCTGGAATGGACGGGTGGCGTGCGCAAACCTTCTGCTGCAAGCAGCTGCAGACCCAGAAGGGTCTAGTGACATGGCAGCAATGGACAGTATACCTTGAACACGTACAGACTCTGAGGAGATGTTCCAAGTCGACATGCTGTCCAGGTGTTGGCAGATACTCTCCGCTGATGTCAGCGGCACGCTGGGGTCACTACGAGGTTTGGCTTCCACAAAGTTAACCGTTTTAGAAGGCAACAGAGGCTTAAGGGCGGTTCCCTTGCCGTGGCCCTGCAGGTGGTTGAGTTGCTGCTGGCCGCCGCGGCCGATCCCCTACGCTGCAACAGCTTTGGGGAGGACTGTGCGTATTCCCGCTGCCTATCGCTGCCTCTTGCGTAGGCGCAGTAAGAACGCAGACGGCAGACATTTGCAGGATGCGCGGCTTCTGGCAAAAGCGCAAGGGCATGGTCGGGTGCCTTGCCTGAAGTGGAAGTGAGGCAAGTCCAGCGAGATCTTTCGGAGTCCGGGCTGACGTAAGAGCAGTGGTCAGCAATCTGTCTGGATTCTGCAAAACCCCGCCCGAGCGCAGAGGTGCTGCAGCTGATGAGCCATAATGGCGCAGAGGAGCATGAAGCACCTTGGGTATCACTTCACGAAACGTTCAGAACCTTACTTGGGAGATCGGGGCAAATTCCATAGCTAGGTTTGTTCGAGTCTGCAAGCCAGGAATGGCGAATCTCCCATCGCGCACGCCGAACTCTGGGTCAGGGATGGTTCGCTCTTGGTCGCGATTTCTACATGTCGAGCGAGCCGGACGAGCCCGACGCAGCATCTGGATCTTGCTTGGGGAGATGAGCGTCGGCTAGGTTCAGAAGAAGCGGAGCCTATGAATATCAAACAGGACAGACCGGAAGGTGGACAATTTGGCGGCCAACTTCTTCAATGTCCACGTTCGGTCCATGCGGCTCATATGCTGTGCGAAACCCAATGAGCCGCGAGGCGATGTGGGAGCGGGGCTGGTTTGGGAAGCTTGCAGAAGCATGCAGGATCGGTACCAGAAGTTCTCTCGAAGGCGATGATGCGTACACAAACCGACACCATGAACTTTTACAAGAACGAGGAGAGCAGTCTCTTCTGCAGGTCGGTGCCTGTGAGCTGTGGTTGTGGTGTGACATGGTGCAACCTTTCAGTCCCGTTCACAAGGTGGGGAGAATGGTCGCCCTGGAACTTGGCGGCGGAAAAACATGGAGAAACCAGTATCTCCCGGCCTTGCCAGGTGACAGCAGGTGAGCTCACTACAAACACACGTTGGGATGGTGCTGACAGCTTCCCAACGGCCGTCGGCCAATGACAGAAGCTGGCTGAGAGTCATCACTACGTGTAGAATTTCTCGCCGTAAGGAGTGTGGATCGGTGAAAAAAGTGCGGAGTTGGTATGTGTGTGTGTGTGTGTGTGCACCGTGCAAGATGCGGTCGCATGCGGTTGCATGCGGATATCCGATAAGAACAAGCGTAGGTATCACGAGCAGAGATGCTTCGCTCAGCCCCGATTTCCTCTGCAGAGGCCTTGCAGGCCTTGGAAACTCCGGAAATGGATCAACAGGAGCCCCTCAGCGAGGAAGAGGCTGAGGCCCGGACGGCATGGAATGACAGGAAGCAATGGTGCATTTGGTTCAAGTTGAGCGATGGCTGAGCTTGGGGTACAGAGTGAACGGCAATTTGTGGCGCGGGCTTTGAAAATAAGAAACCGCCACTCCGGTGAACCGAGGGCGACGTCGTGTTCTCACATCTTGACCTGGAGTTTTTTGGAATGCCCAGAGTCTATAGTATATGTAGAATGGTTGGCCCCATCCAGTGTCTTGTTGGACGACTCTCATCCTGAAACCGCTTCCCGAAACCAACGCCACCTGCCACCTGCTGGGATTTACCAGACGGTTCCAAAAGCGGCGTCGTTTCCTCCAAACGAAAGAGTGGAAGCCCTCCGTCACTGGGTAATGATGTCAGGACGACGTGCCAAGAGACGACGAGCTGTGCAGCCGTGCACTCAGTCCACTCAGCCCACTCAGCAGATTGTCATCGGCGGCAGCTTCGGTTTGAGAGCAGATGCTGCTTAGGCATGGTGAGGATGTCTGAGGCATGAGGCCATGCGAGGTCTCGCTTCTCATTTCGCTTCAGGCGTTGCAGCCCTCCTTCAGCAGGTGCGGGGCTGATAGTGGAAGGGGTACGGAATGAACTGCAGCCGCATCGCTGCGGCGCTGCGGCTCTGCGGCGCTGCGGCGCTGCGGTATCGCCCTGGCGAGGTCGCGGCGGCTGCAGCGCCGCCACCAGTAGATGACAGCGGCCAGGGAGCCCAGAAATGCCGACGTGCCCGGTAGCCGTAGCCGTTGCAGTCGCTTGCCGCTGTAGCAACTGACAAGGGTAGCAGTCTCAACTCGGCAGCCATTCATCTACGTATGGACAAGCGGCAGGCGACCGCGCTCTCCAGGATCTACGGCGGCGGGCCAAGGCAGCCAGTATGTACGGGCAGGTACGAGTAGCGTGCGAAGTATCGCTCACTTTGCAAGACTTGGATGAGGGCTTCCAACAGGGTAAGATGATTACCGAGGCAGGCAAGTGCTCTTAGCATCTTGAGTCGGTATCTGGGAGGTGTCTACGGCCTCCGCAGTCCCCAGCGCCACACCTGTGGAGAAGGATAGCGCTGCAACTCTGGCGACAGCTCTTGCTTGATGCGCCAAGGGCTTATGGAAATGCGGGTACATTGGAGGCCAGCTACGAGGACACCCCAAGCTGTGATTCCTCCAGCGCAGTGGCCACCTTCCGGGAAACTGCGGCCAAGAGCTTAGCATTGCAAGTTGTCAGAAAAGGTTAAGGCATGTCAAGGCTACATTTTTTTTTACAGGTCTACAGAGTCCCAGCTGTTGAGGCCAGGGCAATCTCAAAGGTGGCGCCAGTTGAAGAACAGAAGCCCCAGGCCTTGACACTCCAGATTGCATCGGCGTCTGCACCATTCTAGCTCGCCCAAGAATGGCCACTCCTCGGCAGGCTAACGAGCCCTCGGAGCAGGAGCTCACCATGGCTGACCAAAAAACTCTGTCGGTGCGGGCTGAAGGTGCTTTCCAAGGTCTGCTCAATCCTAATGTTACTATGCCACGATGAACTCCCCGTTCTCCGCTCGCCTTTGATCGTTGGCCTTTGACCTGTGAACAATGCAGTGAGGCAGCGTTAAAAATCCAAAGCGGACAAGCATCGAGTCGTGTTGGTCATGAAGGGTACCGTCCGCGCTGCACGGCGAAACGATGCCGAGAACGCGGTCAAGAGTTGCGGGCTGCGACGCGCAGCTGATCTCTACAAGTGAGTAGGGTCCTTTTCCGCAGTTGGTTGAGCAAACAAGACAGACATGCTGCAGCGCGCCCTGCGGATGAACATGTAGGAGCAGGAAGACTAAAGGGCAAGTGGGTGGAGACAGCCTAGAAATGCTGTCAAGTCTGCAGAGTTCTGGCCGGCTTCGATCGGGCCTGGCCAGTCTCTGAATGTCATGTCGTCGCGGCAGCGATCCCTCAAACTGCGACATCAGGAGCTGGTCATCGAGTCCGTGAAGCGGGCTGAGCGGCCAGGGTGAGCTGCTGAGATTCTCATCAAAGACGATAGTAGAGCGATATAGTATATATAGTAAAGAGGCGAACTGAAATCCTTCAAGACTTTCCGCGCACCTTAGTAAGCCTTTAGCCTCGGGAAAGGCCGAGTTCCTGGACGTCTCGTGCGAGCACCTTGCGGTCCTCCCGTGAGGCCAGAAGCGTAAGCAAAGCAGAAGCAAAGGAGAAATATAGCAGAAGCATGCCAATGCCACGTGGATGTGGGTTGTCCAGGCAAGCTCTCTGGTCTCGGGCCGGCGTCCGGGCACAGGCTTCTTCCCAAGCAAGCGGGCGGCCGACTCAGTGTGAGGTGAGGTGACATGAGGTGGGAGGATTGAACGAGCCACAGCTGTTCGAGCGCCAGGCCTTTCTCACGAAGCTTTGGAGCCATTGGCGTTAACGTCAGCTGTTCACAGCACCTGTCCCAAGGTTTGGGGCAGCTCTTCAGGGGGTTCTACCACTTGTGCATCCTCGGCATTGGCCAGCAGCAGGCCATGTCGTTTCGACCGCGTCATGCAAAGTTGCGAGGCACATGATGGCCACCATCTCCAAAAGATCCTCACACACACACACACCTTGTGAGCGCCAGGGCGTTGTTTCGCACAGGTCCGCGGCATTCTCCGCGCGGCAGGAAGCCACCTCAGCAGCACCATCACCGGTCACTGTGGCCACGAGCCTTTAGGATCTCCGTAGGCCTGCAGAACAAAAACCGATTCAACTCGCAGAGATTCGCATGAACTGAGGTCGAGTCTAGCGAAGCTTCGGACCTCACCGCTGGTGAGGATGGTTTGGCACTGGCAGGGCTCGGGGCCAAGAGTTTTGGCTCCTCTTCCGCGTCGCTCTGAAGTCGCCCCAAAAAAGTGAGGACACCCCTTGCGGCCATTCGGCGGCGGCGCAAAGGTGCCCAAGAACGTGGGGAGGCCTCAGCTGATTCAACCATGCAAAAATCGACACTGCCGTCGGGATTGGTGTATGCAGGTCAGCATATATATATATATACACACATAGTGTATGAATGCCGTGAACTACAGTAGTGTGGCGACCGTATCGCAGGAGACCGATATCCGCGACCTGCTGCGCCGCTTCGAAGCTGGTGTGGGACAGGAGGCTCCATTCTGAAGAGAGATCTCATACCAGTTAGCCACAGTTCGCCCGAAGCATGCTTCAATAACTTCGAGAGGCCATGCCTCCGCGTAAACGCGCAAGTTTAGTCACTGTCGTCGGTGCTGGAGTCTGCAACAACAGTCCCAAGCTTCCCCCCCCCCCCTCCCCCCCTCGCTCTCAAACTGCGTTCTCGAAGACCGTTAGGTACACAGCAAGGCGCAGCACGCAAGTCTGTTTAACTGCGCAGTTTCGCTGATTGAAGAGCCGGCTTTGTATTCACACTGCAGGAGGCTCCTCAGGCGTCGTCTGATCCTGCTCCGCGACCTATGACCTCAGACGTTTGAAGCTGATGGCATCTGATGGCAAATGTCTGCTCGCTCTGTCTTGCTGCTGCATGCTTGCATGCCTTCACTCAGCTTACGCCACTAAGGTGCGCATCAATCCGAGAAGACCTCTCTCAGCTTCGAGTCTGCAGCTCAGCTGGTGACGTGCGTAACCCCTTGAGCAAGATCCACACCCAATGTGTGCCAGACCCTTCTTCTCCTGTTCGATCTCCAAAGCGGTCCTCGAAACGCCTGTCGTCTGGAGGCCTCCTTTGCACTTTGCAATGCTTGAGGCTATACCAGCATGGCCGGGCATGCAACAGACGAAGGAAGCATCTACTTCCCATAATGTAGTCGTCTTTAGGCCTCACTTTCGACTTCAGACCCTTCAATAGCAATCTCCAGAAGTTTCAGCCCGCCGAAAGCCTGAATCTCTTTCAAGAGCCTTCCGATATGAGAACTGCCACCACAGGCCTGAACCTGAATCCGCACAGCCCGTGCAGTAAGTCTCACCAGAGTGTCAGGAAGCTAGTATAAGCTAGTATAGGCTAGTATAGGCTAGTAGAAGCTAGTCTTTGAATCAGTCTTGACAGCTGTTTGTCAGTTGCTGGTTCATGCCGCAGGCGAAATCAAACTTGGAGCGCTTGAGAGCCCGAGAACGACCTCGCAAAAGGATGTCCCGAAGCCAAAGGTCCGCAAGTCGCTTGCATCAGACCATGCCGAGTTTATACCGTGTCCGATCTGAAGACGATGCCTTGAGGCATTTGGGTCGGCGGAGGTCCTTCTCCTCTCGCAGCACCTTGACTGCACGAATAGGACGCCGTACACTTTGCCGCCCAATGTTGAAGAATGACACCGCAAGCTGGGAAGAAGTCCACCCAGTCAAACTTGAAAAACTGTCGCAGAGTTGCCAGATGTTTCAGACAACGTGTGCGTTGTGGGTGCCTCTAGTTACGAGACGCAAAGTCCTCCGCTGTGAAGGAGCTGAGCGCCCGCCTTGTTTCACGCAGTACATACCTTGTGCAACAACAGCAGGCAGTGCAGCACCTGACTTGCAGAAGAGTTGATGGCATCGTTGCGGGGGTGTGTAGGCATGCCCTTGCGTCAGCACATTGCTCCAGTCAGAGTTGGCGATGTTTCGAGTCCATGTATCTTAAGGTTGATGCCTTTGAGTCATGAATTCGTGCAGTAGGCTGGATCTGCGACAGCTTTTGTTACATGTACAGAGCCGAACAGGCTGTCGCCAGAGGTTGGACCCAACATGCAGTGTGCTGAGTCTCAGCGCTAGGATGCCAGGCTTTCCCAGGTCGTGGCCCAACCTGCAAAGAGCCTTGACTGCTCAGATTTGCAAGCGTGCTCTGCGGCATGAAAATGGCGGAGCAATTTAGTTAATTCTTGGCACCGGCGAGCACTTTCAAGAGCTGAATTCTGCACATCATGAGCGGTCCGTATAGGTGGAGGAATCGCAGCGAGGATGCCCGAGGCCAGATCATTCTCTGCATGTTGTGGGGCTGTTGCTTCATAAGCGCAGAAGACTCGTGCGCCTCAGGGGCGTGTGCTCGATGCTTCTCGGCCCGTGCGGCACAAGAAGAGGGAGGTGGTGGAAGCTTTGCCGCGTGAATACTACCTGGCAAGGTCACGGATGGAACGGTTCGATGTAATGGAGGAGCTCCGGCAGATGCACTCTGCTGAAGCACGTCGGCACAACGACAGTCTTACGATTCCGCCACTTGGACTGGTCGAGCGCAAGTGTCCCTACGGAGCTCCGCTCCCGGTCAAGAAATCTCGCCCAAAGAAGGCGAACCTTCAGCTCCAGACGGCGTTGCAAGCATCACATTCGCAGCCCGTCCTTCCATCCACAGAAAACCCACAGAACGAAAAGAAAAAGTATCCCGGCCTTATCCTTTTGGAGATCCCGTACGATCCCACGACCTTCCCCAATGAGCACGACGAGCGCATTCGAGCCATTGACGGGCAAATTGCCGACAAAGAGCTTTCCCTTGAAAGGTCCGACAGCGAAGGGGCGCTCAGGATGAGGCAGAGCTTCAGTGCCAAGGCTCCCGAATTCCACTTCGACCATCTGCCGGATGGAACTATATCGGAGAGCACCTCGCAGGCAGGGGATGGCAGGGGCACAGCGGTCAGAGAGGTATTCCCGGAGTATTCCCTGAATACCCGGTGCCCTGACCAGTTTTTTCCTCGAAGCCACGAGATCATGACCGATATCGGTTGCGGCAAGGACTAAACTTGACCCGAAACACCCCAATGCTATTGCAGTTTTGTTCAGACTGAAGTCGGTAGTGCAGTTAGCTCATTCAGATTTGTAGGATTTTTCGGAACATGTTGCACAACACCATAGCGTGTGTACATGAAGGTCTCAGGGTCTCAAGGTGAAGAGCAGAGCATGTGCCTAGCTTGGCCTATGGGCTCTTGTAGCTTCCCATCCCGACCTTCTTCAGGACCCTCGCTTCTGCCGTCCGCAGCGAGCCTACTGTACTTTTTGCGAACATCTCATATCATGATGCTAAATTTGATGTTGGTGTTCGATTTGGTTGAGGTGGGGACCCTACGAGCGGCATCGTGAGGCAAGGACAGCAAGGGTCCGCATGCTTTTTGTTTGTGCTGTTAACCTCCTCAACTTCTGAATCAGGCATACTGGAGACAAAAGATGGCCCAAGCCTCAATAGGGCATTGACAAACGCCGGCATGCAGCCTGCTTACGAGTGGCATCGTCCGACCGACTTGCTTGCAAATGGGGGGGGGGGGGGGGGTGTGCCTTATAATGTCATAGCCCCGCTAGATACTTACCACTGCGTGACCATATTGCTTTGTACAACGGTATATTGCAACTGCATACAGCTACGACCACTGCTGCTATTCCTGCTGCTACTCCTACTACTTATGACTAGTTCTTAATATACCAATGGCTAGTTTTCGATACGATTCACGGTTACTGATGACTAGTTACCAATGACTACACCCCCGCAGTAGTTGCTAGTAACTAGGAGCGCGCGACAAATTCTGATTGCTACGTACGAGTTCATACGAGTTCTGTACCATTATTCTGGCGATTGCTGTTATTCCGATGATGATTACAAGTGCTATGACTGTTGCTATTGCGAGTGCAATTTCTTGTCTTTTGCTGTTTGATTGCCGCCATGAGTGCTACTGCTATGTCTGTTTTCACATATAGGTATTGCTTTTGCTGCCATTATTGTTCATTTTTCTGCTATTGACATTCTGAGTACAGTTTCATTCAACATTATTTTTAGTAGCTATCATTGTTGCTTTTTCTAGTATGCAAAAGAATTATTGCTACCATTGCGAAGTACTATGTGTCCAAGTTAGTAAACTAGGAATGATGACTTTATTAGCTCAATATGTGAATTGCTAGCTGTCAGTCACCAGAACATTCGTGATGACATACTGAACACTGATTACTTCTTGAATAACAACTACCTCATCTTCGTTCTCCATTAAACAGTCAAATTATGATGCTCTAATGGCTTGTGCTTAGGTTCTGGCACAAGACAGAGTGGGAACCATCGTACCTTTCCTTACCAGAGCAGCCATGGCTTCTTCAACGATTGCCAATAAGACAGCGGATTGCCAGTAAGCCTGTAATGATAACTATGACAATGACATCCTCAATAGAATTTCGCTTGATCTTTGACTTCATGCGGCCGCCTATGAGCACCTGTACTTGACGGTCAGCTTCAGGTCTGTAATTTCATGCCAACTGCTACGATCAGACCACCTCTCCCAATTTTCTCTTAGCTGACCTTGCAGCCTCGATTGTGACGCAGGCTTCCCAAAACTTATGCTGGAGGTCTTAGGCGGGTCTTCAGTATTGCGCTTTATCCTCGCTCCAACATGGGAGATGGGCCCCACTTCACAAATTCCTGGCTCCCAATACCCCTGCAGTGCCTACGGCCACACATGAAAGAGACGTGCGTTTCTGGATCACTTGCACTGTGATCTGTCCTGGCTTGCGATACGATTCCCCACATTCTATGATTACTACCCCAACTTTCATGCCGATTGCCTTTTGGATGTCTGGCTGGTGGAATGCCATGCAGCCCTGTGACTTAAGACACAGTGCTGTCTAGGGGAGCCGAGAGGAGGCCAGCCGTGGAACCACGGCTTTCCCAGGCTCTATTCCATCATCACCTGACTCATCTTTTGCTCCAGTTTTCTTAGGGGGGGCTGCCAGCTTCATGATCAAGGCTTAGGGGTTGGAACTTCGGTGTTGGGATGGTCCCCGGTCTACGGAAGCAGGCGCCTGGGTCATCGGGACACATTGCAGATAAACCCCCGTCCTTCACAAAGCGCCTCCTAAATCGGGGGGCGCGCAGATAGCGCGGGGGGTCACCCCCAAGAAAGAAAGAAAGAAAGAAGGAAAGAAAGAAAAGAAAGCAAGAAAAGACAGGAAAGAAAGAAGGAAGGAAAGGAAAGGAAAGGAAAGGAAAGGGAAGGGAAGGAAAGGGAAGGGAAGGGAAGGGAAGGGAAGGGAAGGGAAGAAAGAAAGAAAGAACTTAAGAAAGAAAGAAAGAAAGAAAGGACGAAAGACATATTGAATAATTGCTCGTCCTTGATGGTTAAGTCCTGACTATGACTTAGTTGTTCTTGAATTTAGAAGCTGCTAGCAGCGAATCGCCGATTTACTACATGTTCAAGAATATCTTGTCATGGCTTCCCATTTGTGATTATGTATGAACTATATGGTATCTACGAACGGTGTCTCTTAAAGCCGGGAGGAATGAGCAGGCTCATGCTTGTCGCGCGCCGCCTCGGCAGCCGGGCCCGCCCACGTCCCAAGACCCAAGAAATTCCAAACATTTTTCGCAGGTCTGGCAGGCCCTTTTTGGTTTAAGGGGATGTGTTAGGGAGGGTTTGAGGGTTTGAGGGTTTGAGGGGGGGGGTGCAAGGGGGGGGGGGTCCCGAAGCTCCCAGGGTGGCTTCAGTCCCAGAATCCGTCCTAGCAGCGTGGTGAGACAAAAGTTTTCTTGCATTTTTGGGCGCTGTTTTGGTAGAGCCGCCGACAGGCGGGAACCCATACGGGATCGGGGTCTGCGGCTCCTCCAAGCGATCCGGGGGGTTCACCAAAACAGCGTGGGGGGGGAGGGTTGGGAAGGGGGAAAGTGGTCTGCCTGTTCTGGACACCTCCCGGCTTCCGCGAGGCGAATTGGCGGGGTTTGTACAGAATCAAAAAGAAACAGAGGCTGCCCAGCATGTTCCTGATCAGCAAAACCACGGAAAATGAGCCCCGCCCACCCTCCCTAAACCCTAAACTCCAAACCCTACACCCTAAACTCTAAACCCTAAACCCTAAATCCTAAACCCCATCAACCTATACACATCAATTTTGCCCTCCTATGGCCTATGGCCGGCAACCTGAGGCTCTCTCATCGAAAGGCCGCTGATCGCAGAAATGCGTGAATGGGTGACGTTCCGTGTTCCATTGTCAGGAACCTGACTGGGACTCGAGATCAAAGGCTCCTTCCAGAAGCAAGTGTGCCATCATGACTGGATCACGCATCTGAGATAGCTGTTCTGCACGCAGAGTACAAAAACCAGACTAAGGCAACACAGCAAGAGCGTCTAACTGGTTGTTGCAAAAAGGAGGGCCAGGATCGGTGTCTCGCACCATTATAGAAATAGGAGCTTCTTGCAGAAGCAAAAGCTTCCATTCCACTCTCCACCACATGGACAGTGGATGCGTTCTTTGGCTTCAGGCCCACTTGGTGTTTCACGGATGAGCATTGCATGGTGCATGCGGATGTTGGCCATTATCAGGTGTCAAACATGTCAAGCGTCCGCTGAGTTGCATCCCGCTCTCATTCTCTGCATTCTAAGCTTCCTGAGTGCGCTTCTTCATGACATCGTCCTTTGGACACTGTTAGAGAACATGGGTTCCTGCATCCGCAGCCTTGTAAGCGGGACAGTGCAAGCCCAGAACGACTTGTGTGCGTTGTCGGAAGCAATGTCAAGCAATATTGTACTGTATGCGACATGTCGGACAACGGAGTGCTGGATGGCTCTTGATTAGCATGGATGGTCTGGTATTCTCCGTTCTATATCATTGTGGCCTGGAAGACGAGGCAGGCCCCATCAATTTCTGCTTCAGATCCTTATGTCAGAAGCATGTAAGACTCACAAAGGATAGCAGCTCTTGTTTGCAAACTCGCGCAATCTGGACTACTTGAGATAGTTCTCTAGTTGGTGTTGAGCCGGAGAAAGTAATCTGCGATGCTTTGCTTTGCACCCTTCTATATGAGAATATTGACTTATCTGTTCAATTCAGCCGCTTCAAGCGAGAGCACCTGCCATCAGAGCACCTTTCAATGCCAGTTGGATGACCTGACAGACTCGCACTCAGTTCTGTTCTTTTGCCTGAGTTTGCATCAGTTGAACTGATACTTATGGTATGCACCACAGGAGCAGGTGAGGTTAGTGGATGCTGGTGCTATGGCTTGACACAACGCTGCTCGTTGTACATGTGGTCAATTAAAGGCATTTCGGCTCGAGCCTCTGAATGTGACCGCTGCTAAACGTTTGAACACCGTTACAGGCATCAGCCTTTAGAATGCAAGCCCCTGTTACAAAGGACCTCAACACAAACAATAACTGAGAACAACCCCATGTGCGTCCTGCTTCTCTTGGAGGGAAGCAGGAAGCTACACAGAAGTTGGCATATACAAGCTGAGATGCTCAGACCCTCATAAGCTACCCACTTCCAGTTCGTTCCTGTCCTTGGTGAAATATCTACTACCAGTGCGGCGAATGAGGCTAAGCGCGCTGAGGCAGATACAGCACAGAGTGTGTCATGCATCACGTGAAGCCAGGAAGTCCATCCACTGCATTGGTCGTGCAGAGCATGAGGCTCAAGGTAGTTCCAGTAGTTACGCCGAAATGACGACCACTCGAGAGCTGGAGCAAGGCGTCTGGGATGCTTTATGACAGTTTATGGTTGTGATATTGCTTGTTAAATCGTGGCCCCGAATCATTGTATGATCATGATGATTGTGCTCTGGATGCTCGTCTCCTTCACGCATAGTTCGCCCCTGTAGAAAGTCGCGAAGGAGAGCGGTAATGAAGCGGATTCCTAATATGCCCCCTGCCGGAATGTTAATTTCCAGCTGTGTGCTCAGTTCTGACCCCGTTTCTCCGGTTTTCCCCCTCCCTTCCTTCCCCTGGTGTTTGTACTCTGCACTTCCAAAGATTCGGGGGCTCTGAGCCCTGATTCCTTCTGCCCACCCTCTCCTTCTCCCACCATTGGGGTTGGATTGTTGGGACCACTTGAGTCTTGAGCCTTTGAATAGCTTATAACCAGTGCCAACCCCGACTCAGGCTTTACAACGATCATGCTTCGGGGCTTGCCGCCTGATGTGAGTTCCCGGCGGTTGATGGAGATCCTCACGGACGTTGCCCCCCTTCAGTATGACTTTGTATATGTTCCCTACTCCAGGACGACTAAGACAAACATAGGCCTGGCCTGGGTCAACTTTGTTGATCATAGCGCCGCTGCACGAGCCTTCCAGGATCTGCAATTATTGTCAAACTTCGGATCCTTACGGCACGTGGAAGTGCGCTCAGCAAACATTCAAGGGCGCGCAGCAAACCTTGCCTACGTCCTAGCACGCTTTGGCCTTCGTGTGCTGCGCGAAACGAGCCCTCCAATTGTCCTCCAAGATGGTTTGCAGGTGTCCGATCTAAAAGCGGCAATGGAGAGCATTGTCGACCCAGGTTTGCTACAAGAGGCCAGGGAGGTTGTTGCTGTCGAGCAGGGGGGTCCAAGCAGGAGATCTTGCAGTGGGGGCTATGCTCGTCGACGGACAGGCATGTGCTGGAATCCGCTTCAGATGCAGCGCCCCGCAGCGAGCTCCGCAGTTTCCACAACATCCGAAACAAGTAGCGTGCTCACCCCCGCGCACCTGCAAGACGAAAGCCTGAAAAGCCAGAGCCATCCGATCTCCGGAGTGAAGGTCACGTTAGGCGCAGAGAGGCTGAGCTTCAGCTTGTAAAGCAGGTGAGGTCCGTTCAAACAGTGAAGGGGCAGTCTTCTTCATGACATTTAATCTTTCCTATGCCAGTGCTAGTGTGGCAAGGCATCGTTGTCAGACAATCTTGCACGGGGTCCCCTGAGGTTTCCCTTTGTTCGTGCAATTTCCGATTTCAAGTGCTATGATGTCACTGTGTAGAACAGGTTTCACCCTTGTCACGCTATTTGAAATTTGTGATGCTGCAAGCGATTTGCAGCCTTTTTTCTTGATACTGACATGCGGCCACAACTTGGCTCCATGAGTATCTCAGCCTCCAGGCCCCTAGGTTGGACCATCTTGCAGCGAGGCATCAGTTCCCGTCGTAATGGCGAGCCTGTCTGACTCATGGCATCTCATCTCAAGCTTCTCGTTGACGGATACTGACCTTGTCTGCGGCTCGGCCGGATCGAACATGGGCTTTGTGTTGCGAAGTGCCGGCCAGAGTGCCGCTTCGACTCTGGACTTCCAATAATCTGACATGAGCATGGCGCAAGAGAAACAGGCGCCGCAGGTAGCAGACGTGCTGTTATGTGCTGGAAGTGGTTGAAGCTGCGACTCCTCGACTGAGCTGCTTGAACTGCGGATGCAGGATGCAGGCTGCGAACAGTGGCAGGCGGATGTTGCGAAACTTGGGGAGAGCGCATAGGGGGGGGGGGAGAGCCACCCTTAGAGGGGTCTGGGGCCTGCAGGATCATGTTTTGCCGTTGCTGAATGTGTCGTTGCAGTCGTGGTGGGCCTCGTGCTCCCAGCGTGGAGCCACTGCCGGAGCCGCTGCCTAGATGGCTTGCAAGGCCATGATTGCACGTTTATTTTCAGACGCTCTTGGGGGGATGTTTTGCTACCACATGTTTTTAGTGTCGGCTGGGGAGGGGAGGGCCTAGATGTAAACGACCGAGGCGTGCCGAACCCACTTGCTGGGGATGCGAACTGTGCTGTGTCGGTGACTTGCTCAACTCGCAGGTGCAGGTCAGCGTTGCCAAAGAACGTGGTTCCAATGCGGATGGGACTACTTGGCAACGCAGTTGAATTCCTCTAATGTGAAGCAGTCACAGTTTTGCAACCACATTGCACATCATCCGGATACCTGCCAGTTGCCATGCTGACGAGCTCATGGTTTCAGACATGGCCACAATTGAACCAAACGCGCAAGAGTCGCACCCAAGCTTTGCTCACATGCTCTGCAATTTGCATGCAAGCGATGTGCCGCAGCTTGTCCGGACCAGCAGCATGAGTCACAACGTGTCAAGCCCCTCCACGGAGAGCGAGCCTTTAAAGGGCCTTCGCTTTCGACTGAAAATCCAGATGTGTAGGTCCAGTGTAGGTTTCTTGTTCATGTTGTCAAGGGCACGTCTCCATGGCGACAGCTTCTGCACGGCGGAAGCACAGCAAGGCATGGGCAGGTGCGCGACCGGAGTAGCTGGCAGACACAACCACATGCATGTAGCGTAATGAAGCTAAGAAGCTCAGCTCAGCTATGCTATGACCAAAAGAAGCTTTTGCAGGCAAGCGCAACCTTGTGAAAGTCCTGCGCAAGACGTGGCGTGGTTGTCTGCAGCTGCATCATCGTGCCGACGGCGGTACCCAACTGTTGAGAATGCGGGATTTGGCACAGGCATCTGGTTTCTTCCGGGAATGCCCAGGTTTGCACGAAGATGAGGATGGCACCATGAGCCCCGCCACATCAGTGTCTGATGTTTGCTTGCTGATACCCACCTCTGCGCGACTAAGCCGGGGGGCTCGATCGCTGCTGCCGGATGTGCTTCTGTGGCTTGTGGGCGCCGCTCACTTGCCCTTGGGGGTAGCTACAGTTTTCGTCGACCAAGATTTGCGCCCAGTTGCCCTGAGATCGAAGCTTGGCAGCAGCATGCCGGTATGTCTTTTCGTCCGGCTGTATCTTAAAATCGTTTTACAAGCCCATGACTCGCCTTTGTGTTTTTGGTGACTTGGATGTGAGGCTTTCGCGTGCGAGAGCTCGCCGCTCCCAGTACGATGCCGTCATTGCGGTTCGGTTGTTGGCGCTGAGCCGCTATCTACTTTGTGAAAGGCTGCATGCTGCTGTAGAGAGATGGCTGTGGCGAAGCGGTGTGGTGGGAAGACAGGCCTTTGCATCCCAACTGCTCGACGGTGATGCCAAGGAGGGCTTCAGCTTGGGCGATGCATGTGCGAGCTTCAAGACCCTAGGAGCACGCAGGGGCCTTGCACGAGGTTTGGCAGAGCTTGCCGGGGACTTGCAGAACATTTCAGAGGCTGCTACTCTCCTTACAGACGACTGCGCGATCGTGCGGGAGCATGTGCTCCGAGCCTTGTGCAAAGCGACCTCTGAGGCTGCGAGTGCCTGTGCGCAGGCCATTGCCACTCGGCCTGAAACTGGCAGACTGGTAATCTCCTTTCGAGTTCTCGAGAGTTCTCGGGTATTGCCCATCCCCCAACAGCTCATCGCAACCAAGGCGGGGTGCTTGCAAGACGAGTCCGCTGAGGTTTCTGGGCAGGCTGCCATGACTTTGTGCCACCTGGCTGCCCAAAGTGGCAGCAAGCTTCAGGCGCAAGAAGTGGCCAAGCTCGTTGCTCCCTTGCTTGCCAACTCTGATCCGCACATCGTCGAGGCAGCCTCGGAAGGGATGGCAAAGCTGGGTACCTGTGCAGCTCCCTTCGCAGTGCGCTGTCTGGAGGCAGACAGCAAGCTGGAACGCCATGCGGGTGTCTGCATCTTGGAGGGCTTGGGATCCCAAAGAGGTGGCGGCGAAGCTGTCGAAGCTGCACTCGGACTGCTCCAGCATCGAAGCCCGGAGGTGCGGCGTGCCGCCCTGCGGGTCCTGGAAAGGCTTTCGAAGCTTTCGAGCAAAGATGGCGTGGGCAGAATCGGCGCAGTGGCCCTCACTCCAACTGCCGTGGAAAGAATCGGCGCAGCTCTAGATGATGAAAGCGGTCGAGTTCGTGGAGTCGCAGCACTTGCCTTGGCCAATTTGGGCTCCGAGGCTGTCGAGCCTTTTGCAGGCCATCTCGTCATGACGCTCAGAGGAGGTGTCTCTGGTGAGGTTGATGCTGCCGAGCTCAGGGAAGTCCTAGAAGCCCTGACCCGGCTGGGCCGAGATGCGCGCTGGGCTGCGCAGGCTGTCGCTGACCTCTTCCTGATCAGTGCCTGGAGCGTCCGGCGCTCTGCTGCAATCGCCTATGGGCAGATCTGTGGAGACACTGCAGAGGCACCGAAAGGCGAGGGCCAAACCAGAACGGACTCAGAGGCCGAGGATGGGGCAGTGGGAGCTGGCGCCGGTGCTGACACTGTCCGAACAGCTGCTGCGCGACTGGCGAAGATGCTGGAGGAAGCCCGCCCATGGCCAGCAGTGCTGTGACGTGTCGTCTAGTAAAGCTTAGTATTGGCTCGTAGTGGTGTGTCTCCGACGGGTCTTAGAGGCGCACTATTCTGTGTTGGCTCTGAAACTCAAAAGCCCAAACCAGAAACTGCCCGGAAACCCTGCACAACCTGGAACCGAGAGTCAGCGCACCGCACAGCCGAGAGTCTCAGAGAGGAGACTGGAACCTTTAGACACGCAGCCCGCCAAAACCACGACACACGGACGGTACTTAGCCTGCCAGCCGACCTTCCGACCCGTGAGGACGAGATCCCAGATGTCGCCGAAGGGGCTGCTGGACTGCCTTAAGCCTTAAACATGCCAAACATGGCTTCGGCTCGGCTGAATCAATACAATGGAGTATGGTAACGAGGCCCCTTGAAGGGGTTAGGGTTTAGGGTTTAGGGTTTAGGGTTTAGGGTTTAGGGTCTAGGGTTTAGGGTTTAGGGTTTAGGGTTTCCAATGTGACAGCTGAGGCCGCCAAGGCGCTTGGACGGCTGGGCTTTCAGGAGCTCCCTGAGTCATGAGAGCTTGGGAAGCCTTGTGCGTTTCGTAGGGGATCCCCGTATGATCCTTATATGACCTTAAAGCCTTAAAGACTACGAAGCTTAGTTCCCAAACTCCGTACTGAGACCGTTTAGTAGATTGAGTTTGGTCTCAACGTCCAGGGCGCATGCTGCGCGCGGCAGCTTGCTTCATGTCTGGACGATCAAGACGACCATCTTGCCAGAGCATGCCTCGCGACTTGCTTCTTCTTGGCCCCCTCTCAAGGCAATGAGCAATTTGCATTTAGTTGTGCGCTGATTTCGCCCCTCACAGAATCTGAGGACTCCTTGCTGAGTCTCCTGAGAGCTTCATGTGGTGCAACCCAAGAAGCTGCGGCAGCAGGACTGGGATCCTGCTTTGAGAAAGGAGGGAAGGCCGGAGCGATCGCCCCTTTCGCCCCCCCTTTCACTGACCTCTTCTTCGGCAACTGTCAGCACACTGTTTATGCATACGGAGGGAAGGCACACCGCAGCACGAGACTTTGAAGTGAGACGCCCGAAGGCGCCAGTGGAAGCCCGTGAGCGCCTGGCTGCAGCTCTGGTCACTGCTGCTCAAAGTGACGACAGGCGCGGCATTGCACAGCGATAGTCGAAGATGGCCCTGAAACAGTCACAACTTTGTTGCGCACTCCTCCATGCACACTGCCCCGGTGACCTGCAGGAGTGTTCGCGAAGAGTCCGTTGCCTGACAGAGCTTGGCGATGAGACCTCTGCAATCCTCTGTACATGCCAGTTTACAGTCTGGTGATGTGGGTTCTTTCTCCGAGTTTATCTTTTTGACTTGGCCCAGGTTCGGGCTTTGGGACACCTGGGGAGCGCTGCAAGCTGCGAGCAGACGGGTCGTGGGTGTCGCAGGCCCATGCCGGAGACTTGAAACACTACAGTATGCTAAACCCTGCTAAGGGATAAGCACCCTTCAAGCGACGGCCGTCTCTCACTTGCAGCAACCGCTTCCCCTCCCTAGAAGAGCAGGTCACGTCTTCAATGTCGCATCTTCGAGACTGCTTGCACCTCAGAAGCTAGAAGCCGTGTCCCGATTCTGCTGACCCCTAAGCATTTCCCAGCCTCTCCGATGATGGCAGGGTCAAAAGAAGAAACAGATCGAAACAGCCCGTGTCGCGAGGTCATTGACGGCCTCGAGGATGTCTCGGTCGCTGTGCAGCGAGCAGCCATGGATGCCCTAGGAGTCCTCCGACTGCCGAGACAGGCGATGCCGCCTCCACAATTTCTTGAGAGATGTTTGCATGACCCAGATGGTGACTGAGCAGCGACCCAGATGATGAGTTTGGACAGGCCGGGCAGCAACGGGAGGCAGTGCTCCGATCGCGCGGTCCTCAAACTCGTGATGAAGCAGCCTGCATTCCTTCGGCGATTGTGGGGAAGCCGCTCATCGCGGTTCCGACGTGTCACGGACACGCTGCTGAGGCTCCTGGGCGGCCCCTCGAAAAGCTTGCGCCTCCATGCGATGGCCGCGCTGGCCCGATGCCAGGCAGAAGCTGGGACAGCGGGAACAGAGAAAGGGATAGGGTGCAGGATCAAACGCAACTGGCCCGTGTTTGTTGACGATGTGTCGTGCGAAGCTCGTTCAGAGCGTCGTGCTGTGAAACGACAGAAGCTCAGTGTAGAATCCACACCCTCCGAGGGCACAAGTCTAGAACAATTTATCCAGCATTCGGTAAACGCGACAAGACACGCCTGGGGCATGTGGGATGCCCTTCACGCGACAAGATGTGCCGAAGGCAAAGGCGAAGCTTCGTACAGGAGCTGTAGGGCACCCTGGAAAATCCTAACTGTCAAACCTCGTCTCTTTCCGTGCTTCCTAGTACTTCTTAATTAGTACTTCTCAGTGCTTCTCAGTCCTTCTCAGTGCATCTGAGTCCTTCTCAGTGCTTCTTTCGCAAGGGTACGGTTTCTTCCATCGACATTGCTGCTGCCAGAGCCAGGGTTCACAACGGGAACAATGCTGCTAACCTTTGCTAGTTGCTACCAGCGAGATCTAGCGCCACTTTGTGCTCAGAGCAGTCCTTGTCATATTCTGCGGCCAGAGAGTTATGTTGGAAGAAGAGCTGTTTCCGGTGCCTTGCTTTCCAGGCAGACCAGATGACGATCCTCAGCGAAGTTGGTCTGCAGTCTGCACACGGACAGGCAGTAAGGTACGATATTTCCAGCTCGACTTGAGTGGCACTCACCTTAGCAGGCAACGGTACTGAATGCGCTCTATGCATGAACATTCTGTGCCGATTTGGTTGGTAAGCTTGGAATTGTGGGCTGAGGAATCTTGAGCCTGCAGAAGACCTGACGCGCTTTGCAAAGAAGCGCAGGAGACCATGCAGCCAGCAAAAAGAGCACCACTGATCTGCTTGGCACGCAGGGTCCACACTTCAGATAGCAAGACCAAGTGTGACAGAATGTGACAGACGAAGCCCCAAAGTTGCCCCCGAGCTCTGGTCTCCAAACTACCCGAGGTATCGGACCGTGACGACTTCCGTGCGCGAGACGCGCACAGGGGGCTCCCCTCGAGGAGCCCTAGCGGACCTAGTTCCGAAGACTTCATGGGGCACTGTTGCGCATTGTTGCACACCGTTGCACTTGCGTCATGGCAGCATGGGACATGGTGAGGAGCTCTCCAGAATGGTTAAGTCCTTGCAGTCCTCAAGGGACCAGGCCGAGTGCTCCGCACCATGCATGTCTGTAACGTGATCTGAAAATGTACTTCTGCTACCTGTGTGCATACTCGCTGCAGACATCACCATGACCTCCCCAGCCCGAGGATGACAACGCGCGGCAGCTCTTGAGAGACGGCTCTGAGCTTCTTCTGGCAGGTGACCTCGTTGAAGCAAAGAAGTGCTGCCTTGCGCTTTATCTGTCTGCTCCTACATGGGGGTGTTTCCGAAAATCAGGGAGCCTACATATATATCACCCCCCAAACCCCCCAAACCCTTTCATTACTCCTGCGGAGTCACTTGAGGAGGTGAACTATTTGCTCGGATTCTATGACGAGTCTCTTGCTGACATTGACAAGGTGTGTGCTGGGTAAGTGCTGCAGAGTCAATCTCTGAACGGGAGCTTCCTTTAATAAGTCTCCATGCGGCCAGCATAGAAAGTGAGGGAGAGAAAGGCTTGACCGTGAAAACCGGCTCCTCAAAGGAAAGCCATCCAAGAGCGCGAGTGCCAGGAAAGCGAGTCCCTGCCACGATTCCGAAGGGCAAGCCTTAAGCAGTGTGCGATTCGGACCACGGAACACGCAGAACGTCACAGGAGGCGTCGGAGGCCACCGTAAACGTTTGGTTCTACCATGCAAACCGTGATCCACCGCATCCCGCTGTCATCCACGCGCAACAAGCCGTGGAACTGGCCGCGCATGCTGCACGCCTGCAGCAACCTGATTACTAATCCTCCTTGCTCTGAATTTCGGAATCCCTTTTTTTGTCGTCACACGGTTTGGGGGAAGTAGTTTCAAAGTTTCCTTCAAGGCTGTCGTATCTAATCCACCCCTCTGTTTCAGGAGGTCTGCCCCACCAGTGGGTCTGCAGCCAGCAACAAGGCCTTCGCCGAGACCTTGCAGGCACGTGTATGCCAAAGGGATGCCCAGGGGCCCGTGGACACTGGCAGTCACTGGCAGCAAGCCGCTCAAGGGACAGCACCTGTTTCATGTGCGATCTCCTGCGCATCTGCAGGAGACTTCCTTACGGTCCTGAGGGCGGAGATGTCCTCCGCCTTTGCTTCAAAGTACGGAACCAATGGAGCAAATGTCACATAGAGAGTAGCTCCCTGCCTGGTGCTGCGCCTGGTGCTTTACAGCCGGCTTGGACAGCACTGGAAGGCATGCGCCAGCATGTGAGTGCAGAGTGCAAAGCAGCTGCAAAGTTGCTGCAGAGTAGGGCAGCCAGGTTTGTGGCAGTAGGCAGATGCAGTGTGTATCTCCCAGCACGCCCCTCTTCCATCAAAATGGCGTAAAGGGCAACAATCACACGTGCAAAAAGCCTGTACATAGCATTGGAGCTCGTTGCTTTTCCAATGGTTCTGCTAGTCTGTTGCTTGTCAAGCGACCTGCAGTTGTCCTGCTGCTGCGAAAATGCTCTAGCAGTTTCAAACCTGCTCTTGCGCAGCTACCATGTGGCATTGCGCTTGGTGCCGACTCAAACAGCTGTAACAACGGTGCGAGGTTGCCTACCTTCGCCTCCGAGGCAGACTGGAGCGTGCAACAGGCTGCTGCCGCTTCACTCTCTATCCCCTTCTCTATCTCTGTCTCTGTCTCTATCTCTATCTCTGTCTCTGTCTCTATCTCGGTCTCTGTCTCTGTCTCTATCTCTATCTCCATCTCCATCTCCATCTCCATCTGTCTCTCTCTCTCTCTCTCTCTCTCTTTCTCCATCTCTTTCTGTTCATCGCCGGGTTTTCATCACGAAAGGAGCTCTAGCGTCGTTTTGGTTCACGGGTGGAGAATGGAAAAGGGGCCCGCCTCTGGCACGATTCACTCCGGAGCACAGAGTGACAGACGTTATGTAGCAAAGGATGCCCGAGGGACCCCCCGAGGGATCACGGGAGCCGGGGGCTAGGGCCCCTGAAACAGTGTGCCCTGGACGGGGGGGCCCCCGCCCCTCCCCGGACCGTGGACCTTTTTGCAAGAACGCTGCAAGAACACTCTCAAAACAAATCTTCCGATGAGCCGGTTGAATGGGCTATTCTGTGCATGAGTCTCTCAAGAGCTTGACACCTCTTGCGTGCAGCATCAGTGAGCCGCCCCTGTGCAACTTTCTTGAGGAATCTACCCTGCAGACACCACCATCGAAGTGCACTGCGAGGGCAGCTGGGCCTTGCACCTCTCGGCCCTGCAGCCAAACGCACGCTCCTCAGCGCCCAGCTTTCGTCGTGCAAAAATGGGACTAGTGGGACCAGCTACCATGCAATTCAAGGACGCTGTTGTCGTGCGCACGGTCTTTGAAGCCCAGACGGAAGAAGGCACCAATGTGTTCGTGGTGAAGAACGGCTCGGTGCCGACCCCAGGCTTCTTATTAGCAACCACTCACTTCATTAGACTGTGAGATTGCCACCATAGACCATGTCCTCTTGTGCTTCACATCCAGCAAGTTGGAAGGCAGAGGCAAGCACATGAACAGTTGAGATAGCTGACATGAGTCTGGGGTTTTCCTGAGTGTAGGGTAGCGAGCACCCACAACAACAACACCTGACCATGGCACTTGTCCAAGAGGGCAGATGAGGGGTTGTCCGGAGCGTAGGGTAGCGAGCATGTCGGCCTCAGTGAGCAGCGGGTCCCAGATGGTAGATGCACTCGTTGTCTTCTGCAATGCCTGTGGATATGGGTTGTTCAAGGACGTGGACGCGCCAGAGCTGCCAGGGAAGTGTGGCTACTGCCATCGGGAGCGAAGCCTGCAGCCAGTGCGACAGCCGGGACCAGGCGAGTCTGGCTGCTGGGCCCTCTGGCATTGCAGCGGGTACTCTGGCTCGAAGTGCAAAAGGGTATACACCAAGCACTGCAGTGGCACCTGCTCGATGTGCAAGACAACACTGGAGAAGTTCCTGTGGTGCCTGGCCGGCGAGCTAGTGCAGCCGGCGCTGCCGTCTCAGACAGCATGTGAGGACTCCCTGGTGAAGGTCGAGGACGACCCTCCGGAGGAGCCCCTGGATGAATCCTTGGCGGCCTTGGAGCCAGTGGCGGGCTCCCTGCAAGTCTGTATGCGCTTCATGGAGAGGGAGATGGACAAGAACCGAGTCTTCACCATGACCTTCATGAAGCAGCTGTCCCAGAGCTTCCAGACCACAGTGCAGGAGCTGGCGTCGGCCTTCCAGACCACAGTGCAGGCAAGAGGGAGAGAGCACTCGTGAGATGCTCTCACGGCTCCTGCAGCAGCCTCAGCAGCCAAGGCCTGAGGCCATGAGCTCAGCAACTCCGACACCGGGCAAGCGGCGCAGGCTGGAAGCAGGAGCCCTCGGGACAGAGATGGAGCCGGCTCCGGCGGTCATCAACGTGGAGGAGATGCCGAACCCGCCGCCGCCGCCGTCTTCGTGGGAGGGCGTCGAGCTCGCAGATGGGCGTCTGGGCGGGCTACTAAAGGACGCACTGTACATCGAGATGGGCACAGCCTACCCCAAGCTCCCCTTCTCCAAAGCGGCCTTCTTCCTGACGGAGGAACAGGAAGCTCAGTTCGCGGGCTGGCAGCAGGGCCACAGCTCCAGGACCTTGGTCTCGCTGGCAGTACCCCTCAAGGAGCGGCTCGCTATGGTACCCAAGGACCTGGAGGTACACGAGGCCGTGTTCCGTTCCTTGGCACAGCTCAACATCAGTCTCGACGAGCTGGGAGCTTCTCGGAAGTGCTTTCGTTTTATACATTTTTTTTGTTTTTGGCCGGTCAATTTGTATTTGTCTTACTTCTTCCGGTTGGGATTGCGTCCAGGACGCGGTCTCACCCTCCCAAAGCCCTGGTTCCGGTGAGACCGCGTCCGGGGCCCCCTCCTCAAAACCCGAAACCCCCCACGTTCACTGCGTGCGCTCTGCGCGGGCACGTGCAGAGCCGAGTACCTGGATGTACTGAAGAACCCTGCCATGACGTGGGAAGCGCTGAAGCGGGTCTACACCAGCGCATTCGGGATTCCACGTGCAAGCCACTTGGCAATTCAGCTGTTGCCTCGGCTGAAGAGCTGTTGTGGCAACTCAGAGAACGCTGGAGTGATCCACTTCATCGCAGCCACGCGACCGAACGAGACGGAACCCTATATGATGAAGGTCGGGAAGTCCTCGCTGCACCTCCGAGAGAACAGCCCCCGAGCGCTTGCTTGCTTGGAGTCCGCACTGCGCAGGTACAAGCGCTGCACCGTGGAGGCGGCGTCCAGCTGGCAGACCCTGAAGGTGTTCCTGTTCACACACGAGGCCCATGCTTGGGAATTCGAATCCGGATTCCACAGCATCGCTTACCAGACCTATCCAGGCTCCCTTCTCTACAATCCAGACATCTGGACCGAAGTCCGCGAGCGCAACAAACGGCTGTCCCGCTCGAACTGGGAAGTTTACCATGGCGCGAACATCCCCGAGCTCCTCGCCCTAGCGGACCGCTTGTTCCGGCTCCCCCGCTCTGAGTTCTTACCTCTCCGTGCGGAGGCTTGGCAGCTCTGGAGCGCCCAGCACGCCGACTTCTTCTTCCCGCCCCAGCCACGGCCAGCCCTGTGCTGTGACGTCGACAAAGTGGAGGAGTACGCGTTCATGGTCTGCCGCACTTGGCAAGAGTGGTGTGAGCGTGGCTTGTCGGTGCTGAAAGGACAGAACCCCGAGTACCCCCTGCACACGTTCTTCCGGAAATGCCGCGGCAGGCTGTGGAAGCCTGCTGGCGCCAAGTCCAGCCACATCGAGCCTGCCCGCTTCCAGACCCAGTTCCTTATCCGCTTTGACGCTCTGCACCCTGACCTGGCGGCTAAGCTGCGTGACCAGCTGAAGATGCCGCTTGCAGTCACGGAGCCTGTCATGCTGCGCCGCTCGGCAGCCAATGTCTGGTTGCTGAGCTCTTTTCAGCTCGGCGCGCATCTTTTCCTGTAACTCGACATTGCGTGCCCAGAGACTCGACAGAAGCCCCGTGCGAATGCAACATGCCTGCACATGCCTGCTCTGTTTCCGTAGTGAGTGCTACCGTAGCCGCGTGCGCAGGCTGAGTCTGGGGCCAGCCACGTTCTTTGATAAGAAGCAATTGAGCATAGAGTCATAGAGCTGTCTCCCATGGCATCCCGAATATGTGCCTCTGCAGCTGGCATGGTGGCGACCTCGGGCGTGTTCCGCCTGTTGAATCGCCCGGCCCAACAACCGCGAAAGCCCTGCTTCTGTGAGTCAGTGCGCAACACCTGTGCTGCCACAGATGGTCCCAAGCGCATTAGAGTGATGTCTCAGAACATCTGGAACTCCTTCTTTGCAGGAGGTCCAGGAAGGCATGCGAGGCTGATGGCGTTTTTCGAGGAGTTGGAACGACTCCGTGTGGATATCGTGATCGTGCAGGAGATGTTCGTTTTCGGCCTGGGACCCTGGTGTGTCAAGAGCGAGGCGGAAGCGGCTCGAGAGCTGCTCCTGGAACTCGGCTTCCGACATCAGACTTGCCCCACGGCCACGCAACCGTTGCTTGGTCAAAGCTCCGGCCTGGTCGTCTATTCAAAATATCCCATCGTGCGGGAGCACCATGAGGCGTTTGCCACTCGTCGCTCTGTCACGGCGAAAGGCTGGCTGGAAGTGGTGATCGACCTGGGTCTGTCAGACAGCAACCAGGTGCAGCATCTACTCTTGCCTTTGCATTGCTGTCCTGGGTAAACGTATAGGTATCAACTCATAAGGAAGCTGTGCATTCGTTGTTTTTTTTCTGACTGCCGCTGACTGCCTCAAGCCGCTTTGCATTGCTGCCTTGCGTGATGCTTCGGTGGAGTCTTACGAGTACCCTGCCAGATGTCAGGCCCGTGAGCTGATCATCTTCAATACTCACCTGGAGCATTCACACCACCCACGCTGGCAGCGCATCCGCGAGCAGCAGTGGAAAGAGTTGGCCAAGAGAGCAGAGGACGTGCTACCCAGCCGAAAATCACACCTGGAGAGGAAGACTAATGTGCTCACAAGAACGTTTTCTTTCTGAGTTTTGACTCCGAGCTGTCTGCACTGAACCGTGCATAGTGAGATTCTCCGCTCATCTGAATCTAAGGCTGGCAAAAAGCGCGGCAACAAGCAGGCCCTACGCAATGGTGGTGGGAGACTTCAATGTCTGCAGCCAGGAGTTTGGGCAGCAGCTGGACAGCTCCGCAGAGTTCCAGGCTTTGCAGTTGGCTATGCAGTCTGCAGGTTTTGCCTGCGAGTTGCCACAGCCATCGTTTGATGCGGAGAGGCCGGGAACTCTTCGGCTTGGGCCAGAGAACGAGCTACGGTCCTCCCCAGACCACATGTTTGTGACCTACGAGTTACAAGACTGCTGTGTAGCCTCCGCAATCATTGACACGCGTGGCCGAGATGGACTGGAGGTGTCCGACCATCTGGCTCTCGTTGTGGAGTTCTTGCTGCCTCCGTAGCAACTAGCAACCACGAACGTCACAAGCCTTTGTAGACTCATTGTAGACTGGCAAGAGATGGGCCACAGCATCCAGGTGCGAGTCGGCTAGAGCTTGCCGGAGTTGCCAGAACGCAAGCGGGATGATACTGGAAGGCCTTGGTGGAGACTACGCTTTGCGAAGGCCGTCCTCAGATCGATCTTTCGGTGGGTGGAGCTATGTGGCACTGCCCACAGCCCACTAGTTCGGGCTGGTCGTTCGGTCTCGTCCACCCTCTGCGCTGAAGCTGGGCAGCGAGAAAGGCAAGGCATTCCAAGCCTTTCTCGTTCCTACCTGGCTGAAGACCTTCAGCGACCTGGTTCACAGCGCAGTGGCGCAAGCGATAGAAACATTCCTGTGCGAGATGTTGCAGTCATCTCGACCCCATGATGATGTTGCGTTAGCGACACGGTTGGGACAGTGATAGGGCCCCGCGAAATGCCAGAAATGCTCCGGGGCTGAGATGTGATTTGTCATGTGGCAAAATGTCAGGCCTCCGAGAGGTCTTGAGGGTAGTAAGGTTGGATGCCCCATGCTGGACTCGTGGCCTCGAGTTCTCGAGGTTTGGCTGGGAAACTCCACTCGGCTTCTAGATTCGCCCCAGGCCAGACGAGAAAATGTTCAGCTAAGTACAAGCTCAGAGAAGCCATTCAGTGACCAAGGGACAAGGCAGCCCGATAAACACATACTGCGCAAGCAGCATGCCAGAATAAGACCACGTGTGCGACGCGCTTTCCGAGGCTGGTGTGCGAGTGGCTCGGACACATGGCCTTTGGGAAGCGAGTGAAGCGGACATTCAGCATCCCGACTGGAGGCCCCCTCTTTGGTGCCGGCCCCAAACTGTAGATCATCGTAGATTCGGAAAAAAGTCTGGGATGTTTTGGGGTTGCAGTTGGAGCGTCCAGATTGCCTTGGTTGGCTTTTCCTGCAAAAAGTATCAGATGTACATTGTCGATGAACACGCTCCTTCGCAGTCTGTGGCCGTGCCCTTCGCAGCTAATATGCAAGTCGTCTAAGGTTCGTGCAGCCGTTAGACACCCGACCAACCGGGGGCCAGTACGACTACTGGCCCGAACCTTAGCAGCCTGAGCAGCCAAAGTAACTTGAAGGGGCATGCGCTCTGCAGACGTTCTGAGGAGAATTTCATCACTGCTTGATCGCAAGGATTCCAACGCAAACGCCTCAGCACCGGCTTCATGTCATGCGGTGAACAGCAGATGCGGTTGTAGTCGCGAAAGCTACAAGCTCTCTGGAACTTGCGGGAGTTTTTGTTTGCAATTTTATTGTCTTGGGCCAAAGGGACTTGGGGGGACCTTTTGCCCGATATTTCAGGGATTGAGAAAAGGTCACGCGGGGCGGGGCGAGGGGGCGGGTGTGGGGGGGTTGGGGCGGCGCGAAAGGCGCCCTAACACTGCCAGGCTTCTTGAGCCCAGTCCAACAGCTTGCAAATCTCCGAAATTCTTTGCTGGCACCTCTCAGGAAGCGTTGCAGAGGCAATTTCAAGCCTGGCTTCCTGGCCACATTCAACAAGGGCAACTGTTAATCCGAGAACCGATCAAGGCGATGGGCTATGACACGGCAGTTAGACCGTGAAACCGGTCAAACCGGTTGAGCAGTGAGCCGGGATGTTTCAAGCATCCAACAGTTATGCTCGTCCGCCGCCCAAGATGGCTCGGGGGCCGGCCCGGAGGTTCCCTTGGGCAACGCGTTGCCCCGAAGCTTTTTGTAGAGCATGCAAGAATCTGCTTGGGACCTTGGGGCTGCCTCGGGAAACACACGCTATTGAAATATTGTCCGCCACCGTGGGTTGCCAGAGGTCATGGGTTGGCTGGTCATGGGCATGTGTTAGTGCGCCACCTTCGGCAATGATGGTTCGATTGATGGGACTCTTATGAGCTCCCTAGCCCGCTCCTTCGCGCCCTTCTGCCGGATTGGACTCTTGGACTCAGGCTCATCTTGTCCAGGGCTTTTCCGCTTCAGTGTTTCGGGCAAGGTTCAGTTGACATGCATTCGGTCTGTCTCTTGCAGCTTGGGCTCAGCACAAGTTGCGGCGAGGGGCGCGTGCCAAGTAGGAGGGCTTTTAGAAGGGCGGGTGGGGGTGGTGAAAGAAAAGGTTGGGGTGACAAGGAGACCCTGACGAAGTAGAAATGGATAGCAAACATACTGCGCATGTACATATTGACATACTCATGTGTGTATTAATTAGTATAGTTCTGTTCAATGCCGGCAGAGCAAGGAAAAGTCTGTTGCTCCGCCCGCGGCCCTTCAGATCTTTGGCCGTCCCGTTGTCCTTATCCCCCCAAGACACATCTACATAATGAGATCCCTTAAAGGGGTGTAGGAAGATGTATTTGTATAGTATTATTATTGTTATTATGATCATTCCTTTTTTTTATATTCTTCTTGTATATACTGTCACCCATGCGAGGCTGTGTTTTCCACTGCACCATTCGAGCTGCCCAGGTCTTTGCCGTGATGTGGGAGAACGCCAAACCGGGAGTGGTGCCTGGGGCAGCGAGAGACATAGCATCGCACAACAAACTCTTGGATGCATCCCAGGTGCTAAACACCCACAGGCAAGAAGGGTCTTGGGGCGTTGCGTGTTGCAGTGCCTTGGAGAATGCGTGTGCCACTGCCTGATGCTGCCTTCGCCTTGCAGTGGTGTGACACACGTGTGCAAGAACATTCTTCTGGTCGACATGTCGATGGACCAATGTCCGTGCCGCGTGCCCAGAGTTCAACGGTGCTCTTAACGTTGCAGTGTAAGACCAGACCATCTACGCCCACAGTCAGAATCCACTCCTTGCTTGTCTTGTTCTTCTTTTCATTTTGAGGTGCTGAGTGGACAGCCCAAAGGCTTCTGCCAGTTTGCTCTTTGCAGGTCTCCCTGCCCCTGTTTCATGGCAAGTTCGCTTTTTTGTCATGCAAGGGACTGCTTCAGTATATACAAGAAGAATGAAAAAGAATAACCATAAAAACAATAATAATAATTGTAGTAATAATAATAATAATGATATACAACATGGACATACTGTCCTGCGCGGCGGTCAGGTGCGCCGGGACATGGCTCGTGGTCGCCTGCGGTCGATGCGCTCTGCTCAAGTTGTCTACTGCAAAAGGGAAGCCGCCTGGGAAGCCTTGACACCTTTTTTGAATCTTCTAGCGTTCCTGAGCTGTCTCAGCTCCTTGCAAGCTGTTCCTGAGCTGATGAGCTGTTGACATGGCTAGTTCGGCCAAAACTGACTGTTCTCACAGTTCTGGTGGAGGCCCTTCCTTTGTATGGGCGCCGTGGTGCCCGGTGCCCAGCTATTTCATTTAAGAGAGTACGGTATGACTGATTTCCAAGCTGCTGTCCATCCGCCCAATTAATTTCAATTGTGTTGGCCAACGTGCGATCAGCAACCTTCTTGCCACCAGACAACAGGGCATACTGCATCCACCTGACTGAGGGTAGTGCCAAAGTCCGACTGGCAACAAGCATGAGCGTATGGCCAGACCATGAACCCCTTCTGTACCTCCGAGCCAGCACGATCTTCTCCACGCAAGCTTGAAACTGAACACCCGTAGAAAATGTGTCGGAGCAGCTAGTATCGATAGTTGAAGCCGGGTTTAGGGTGCCTATGATCCGAAGTCTGCAGTTGTGCAGTGCCCACCGAAGTTGCAAGCCCCAAATTTTGCCTAAGATACCTCAAGATGCTAGTACCAATGGTGTACATTTCCCCGGAGCCCGAATTCCCCTTCGAGAGGCGCGTCCACCGCGTTGCCACGCAGCGAAAGCGACCGAACTTCCTCAACCTTTGGTTCAGGACAGAATGCTATATCCCCCTTGGGAATTTTTTTAAAGATTACCTTTCTTTTTTAATGTTTATATAAAACCCAAGAAGGGGAGTATAGAATGCATGTTTGCAGCTCCTGCACTTCAATGGTCATCATTGCTAGGCCCTACAGGGGCTTCGGTTAGGATGATTCATAATGGTTCTAAGTGTCGCTGCTAGGAAATACTCGTCCGTTGCCGTCTTTGACATCGGTGACGAGGAGGCCGACTTTTTTGTGGAAGATCTACTCAGGTCCTTCATATTTCTGAGCACTGCTTCTGGTGAATCTAAGTTGCAGGCTGTGCCCGGCATCAACGACTGCTCCCTGCGGCCCATAGAGGATGCCAAATTCAAGCGCAAAAAAGCAAAAACACATCAAGAAGCAGCTCCCTTCAGTGAAGTTTTGTCAATGTCTTGTCATCGCATTTCTGCCCAGATTTCGCTAGGAGGACCACACACCTACCGAGAGCATCGCAGACCGCCGGACTGTGCGGGATCTGAGTACATGGATCCGGCAGGGAGACTCAGTGGGCTGCGCGCGGTCTGCACTCGGTTTCGTTTCACGGCATTTTTGTTTGGCAATATGAGGCGACGGCTGTCTCACGAAACTATGTCGGCCTATCTGCCGGAAGCTCAAACTGTCGCCGGGTGTGAGTATCCGCCGCCTTCAGGCCACAGCTGCACTAGCGATAGCAGCAAACCCGAGACCAGGAACAGTACAAGCTGGTCGGGAGCTGGGATGCCCACTAGACAGCATGCCAGGGGCATTGGCGTCACTGACAAAACTTAGGACCGCAGCCAAAGTACCGCTGCGAAGCTCGGTGGGTCAACCAACCAGACCGAGTTTCGCAAACCGAACTTGTCGCCGGAAAGTGCGTCCACAATCCCACTGTCAATGCTGGCAGATTCGGGGACATAGTGGACAAGTGGTTTTTGCTTCAGGAGAAGGCTCTGCCCAAGCCAAGAGAACAGTCGAAGTTCCTGAAGAGGCCGGATCGATCGGTTCATCCAACAATACGCCCGACGGTCTTATGACCAGCTATGACATAAACATGGAGGCGTGGCTTCGCACCGCAGAGCGACATGTCTCCCGGAGCCTCCAAGCCCTGTGCGTATGAACAAGCAACGAAGAACCAACCATAGCAGTTGCGGTCAGAAACGCCAACG